AGCCCACAAGTATGAATTAAAACAACAGTGAAATACCATTACAATGGCCCTAATTTGCCACCCTCCAAGCCAGCGGGGATGTAGTAATATAAAGCCTCATTTATCACTGATGCGATTAAAAATCATCATCTATCAATTAGACTTAATGGACTTTCCCAGCTGTGACACTGAACAGGAAGAGTATAAAATTTTAACAATCCTACTCCATATGCTACTCACTCATTTTGAGTTCTGGACATTGTCTAACAAGTTTCAAAAGTTATATAGGATGCAATTTCTGATCTGCTTTAACCAGCATGTCTCTAGGGATGATGGAGATCCGACTGGAAAGAAAAGACGAACTCACAGACACAGAGCGAAGCCGGGATCCGGTGCCCTGGGCTCTGGTGGAGAAGCTAGAGCACCCTGGAAGCTCAGCGTATTTGTTATCTACAGTTACCAGGGACATGGAGTTGTTGCACACAGCTGAATCAAGGAGGCAGGTTAAACTAATTTTGGTAGTGGTGGTCTCTGTAGGAGAGCTGTCGTTAGCCTGTACGTATCTGGTGGAAGAAAGCTATGGTGGGCATTTTCTGCACACAATATCAACATTTCCTCGACTCTCCGAGGAAGGCTTTGCCATCCTCCCTGAGCTTCACTCTGGGTTGGGGGAGACATTGCTACTGCCCATGGGCTGAAGTATTGGATTCTTGATATGGCTAAGCTAATGTCCCCAGCACACATTCACTTGGGACTTCATTCCCCCACGAGTCCCTTCACTCCATACATCCCCCACCCTCTGTTATTCTTAGATGTTCAGGATCTCCATTCTTGGTCCAGGGGCAGTTCACAGCAATGCTCCCCACCAGACTATAAGGATAAGAAGAAAGATCATAATAGTCACTCTACCCAATGAACACAATAGAAATAGTGTAACACGCATAAGGCCTGAAGCCTCCAAGGTCATCAAGGGTACTTTTCACAATAACAGCAAGAGAAACAGTCTGCTCTTACACCCTTTGCTTTTCTGGGATACTGGCTTCATCCACGTCATCATTACTGTGGGTTCAAACCCCCCAGAGGTGGGTCCCAATTATCCTGTCTAAATTGCAGAACTATAGGTGAACAGAGCCCACTGGGGCTCCAGGTGGTTAGAGACAAGTTCCCTGCCCCCTGCCCCTGCCACCAAAAGAGAGTGGTAGTCATTAGCAGAAACAGGTAAAGGAAGTTGTGGGACTAGACCATTGGATGAAAGAGCATAGGCCCCCTAGGCTCTCCATTGACCAGTCTTACCTGTATGGATACCGTTACTAGCCATCTCAGAAATACAACTGCTTTGTTATTTGAGTTGGGTTGTTTAAAGACAAAAACAAAAACGAAACAGACAGCATTTAAAGACACCAAGATTGGGGCTGGAGAGATGGCTCAGAGGTCAAGAGCACCAGCTAGTCTTCCAGAGGTCATGAGTTTAATTCCCAGCAACCACATGGTGGCTTACAACCATCTGTAATGAGATCTGGTGCCCTCTTCTGGTGTGTATGCCAGAACACTGTATGCATAATAAATAAATAAATCTTTTTTAAAAAAAGACACCAAGATTTTCCCCTTTGCTATGGTCTCCTCCAACCATGTGCTCATGGTCACCTCCATGCTCACACTTTCTCACCTGCAGACATCTGTAAATGATCAAATGCCCTAGGACATGTTTAGCCCCCTGCCTCACAGCTGTCAAGTCAGGCAGAGCTCCACCTCTGACATCCTAGGTTAATGGAACAATGGACCAGCGTATGGCCTGAATGCCTGGGCTTGTGTAAGACCCTGTTCATTTTACCAGACATCTCTCGAGAATCCTAACCAAAATTGTTAACTTTGCTTGCAGTAAGGATATCCCACCTTTTGTGAGCTAGACTTTTACTTTATCCATTGCTGTCCTGACAGGGGGGCCCTCAAGAGCCACCTGATAATGCCATTTAATTCCTCAGCGACACTTTGAGGATAGCAACTTCCAAACCTCACCCAAACCTTACATGTGATTGTTGTAAGAAACAAGGGGCACTGATTCTGAGAAGCCCGCAGCCAGGCTCTGGGGTGTGTCTTACTTTCTTCTCAGTATGGCTCAGTATGGCTTTTGTGTCCATAAGAAAACGACTTTATTAACCCCCAGCTTTGTTTTAGTCTGAGATACTTTTCTGTGCTGAAGCTCTTAACTCTGGTTTGGACTGTTTTATCAAGGTTTCTAAAAGTCTAGGGGACGCTTAGGCTGCTGTGGGTAACAGTGGGAAGCTGTGCCCTCTGTTTCTACCGAAAGAACCTCATATGATAAATAACATACCAGAATAGGGAACTTCTTACTAGTGAAAAAACAGGTGTTTCCTCTAAGATCAGAACAGAGTGAGGGCATCCCTGTCATTCCTCTTCTCCATCATACTAGAAATGCTAAACAATATAGGAAGACACCTAAAGTGGCTCTGTTGGGTGAGGTTGGTGGGGGAGGTCAGGCCTGGCGTTCACTGCCTTCCATATGTGCCTCCAACTCTTTGGGTGACCAGCTAGGGTGGAGCTCTGTTGGCATGTCATCAAAGTAGGAAAGGTTGCTGCTGCTGCTACTTTCTAGGGTGGGTCTGGCTGGCAGTTACCTACAGCAACATGGGACTTCTACATAAGTCCCTTACTATGTGATCCCAGACCAGACAGAGTGTTGTCTAGAGTTGCCTAGCAGTCCTTTGGGTGAAAGAAGTGCTTTTAATGCAAATGGACTGTCAATCCGTGCAGTTTGTCTACACTCTCTTCTGTAAAGAATTCCAGTGACACCATTGTCTCCCTGGAAATGGGGAGTCCTTGGAGGAGTGGCAGGCCCAGTGCACATATAACGTACCCTTCAGAACTGCCAGCACAGCCAGGACAGGCTGCCAGTCTTTCTGATAACACAAGGTGTGTGTGGTGGGGCAGGGATGAGGCTGGTCAGGAACAGTACCAAAGTACAGCAGGAGTTTGTCGTTTCTTCCTACAATCATCTGTATGTGTTTTGGCAACTTGAAAGGCTGTCCTGGAGCTGTCTTTCCTAGATAGGGAAGGAGAACCAGAGGAGACACGGGAAGAAGAAAGCTGAGTGTGTAGAGCATCCAGGAAGAACTCGAGGTGGGTGCCAACTGTAAGCACTATATCCGGAGAACTCCCAACACCTATACAGAGCAAGACTGAAGTGTTGGTTTGACTTTAAGCAGCCAGCAGACGTGGGTTTGCTCATCGGTAGCATGAAGGTGCAGGAACTGCTCCACTCAGGAAGATGTGGGAGTTGCTTCCACAGATGAATGGAAAGGAAGAGTTATTGCTCTGTTTGAGGAGGTCAGAGAGGACAAGGCCTCCAGGAGGCACTGTAAATCCCCTTGTGAGCCCATGACCACAGGCCAAGTGTGGGCATTCTTCAGAAGACCTGCTGAGATTAGAAGGTGGCTTAGTCTCTCAGGGAGAGGTTTGGCCATAGGGGTTGAGGAGGGATGGCCAGAAATTTGTACTTATACTTCAGGATTACAAAACTCCTGACTCTAAACCAGTGTTTAGCAAGCCGAGACCCTCCAGGATCACAGGGTGATTACACACATTGTTCCTGGAAGTCAGCACTGATGTATCCAGTAGATACTTTGTGTATGTTTAAGGAAGAACTGGTAATCTGGGCAGGGAAACTGCAAACACTGTGGTGGGACTCTCAGAAGCTCACCATGTGTGATGCCAGTAAACACAGCACCAAAATCCCATAAGGTGAGTCTGGAGGATGAGATCACTAAGATGGAGGACTATCTATTTCATGCTCAGTACCAACCCCAAAGGTTGTGAAGATATGGACAAAGTGTATTCAAAACCTGACACAATGGTCACTCGGAGCCTGAAGTCCATTTTGCAGGTTTAAACATTCTTGTGCTTCCTAGTTTTTTAAACTGATGCCAGCTTGCATAAGGGCCACTATTACTCCTTAGCAGATTGGTGCTGTAATATGTTGCCTTTACCCTCAGCACTGATCCATGTTCCCTCTTGAGATGCACTGGCTGATATTAAGTGCTATGTTGGAATTGGTTAAAACTTCATATGAGGTTAAGATGATGTGGTACAGGAGACCCATTATCCAGTCAGCTTACAGAGTGTTTTATGAAGTATCCCAGGGTTACCGTGTAGAAACTTCAGCATCCTTGATTGTATTCCAGAACGGGAAAATTGAGTGACACAGCTTGCCACATTGAAGCAAAAATAGTGTTGTAGTGTCTTAGACCTGGGAGATGTGGAGGTTCGAGTCCAGGTGGATGACAAAATGAATAATTATGACTTCATCTTCAAGCAGCCCCCATGACTGTGGCCAAATGTGTGACCCTGACAGACCAGAGTAGCCAAGATCTGGGAGAGCACCCCTCCTCTGGCCTCGCTGCACCAACAGCCTCCTTCACACCCTGATTTTCTTTATATGTTGCTGTTTATTTCTGAGATGGCAATTTAATTATAAAGTTTCTCTCATCACTTTCCTCCATCCAAAACCTTCTTGCTTTCCTTTAAATTCATGGCTTCTTTTTTCATTAATTGTTATTGTAAGCATATATGTATTTGTATATACATACAGATACGTAATTTGTAAAGCTAACCTATGAAGTCCATATAATGTTAGTTGTATGTATGTTTTCAGGACTGACTGTTTGGCACTGGACAAACAATTGATGTACTCTTCTACAGGACAGAAGCTTCTTTCTTGGTGCCAAGACTGTTCTGAAGGAAAAGGCTTCTTCATAAATACACAGTCCCATTAACTGGCGGTTGACTCTCTGAATAGTAAAAGCTTGGAACGATCATGTTGTACACAGGCTACTAGGATCCACAGCTACATAATTGTGCCCAGTGTACTCTCTCTTCTCTCCTGAGTTGTATGGTGAGGACAAATTACCTCTTTCAGGAGCTATTCAGATACTGTAGCATGATGACTATTAAGAGCGCCATTTCAAAAAACCAGAAAGTGGGAGTTAAATTTTGTTTGCCAACAGATCATAGGAGCTATTCAGACAACAGCCTCCACATCCTGTCAAGAACCACATGGATACCTTCCCGGGCACAGATGTTAAAGGTAAGACCTGGAGTCTGAGTTATTCACTGGGAACTGAGGGCATGCTGCTTTACCACACCCCAAGCTACAGAGCCTATACATCACAGATTACACCTCTAAACAACCCTCTTTTCTTTCTAAGTTGCTAATCTCAGATACCTAGTTTCAGTGATAGAAACCAGCATGCCCAGTGGAAGACTGATGACTCAACTTGACTACAGTGAAACTAGCAAACCTACAACCATGGTCAATGACCCTTGACAAAGAAGCAAAGGAATCTTTTGGACAAATAGTGACAGATAACTACCAACCAGCAAAAAACTACATCCAGACACAGACCTGATATATCTATCTATCTATCTATATATCTATATATATATATATTAATTTAAAATGGATCACAAACATAAATATAAAATGCAGACCTATACGCTCCATGAAATTAACACAGGAGAAAATACAGGAACCACAACCATGGGGAAAAAATTCATGTTACATCGTCTTAAGATAAAAGGCTTCTGTTCTGTGAAAGACAGTGTTAAAGAATGAAAACACAAGCCATAGGCAGGAAGAAGGTGCTTGGACACAGGGCCCATTACGACATGGGTACATGGGCTGAAGAGTTGAAGATATGCTTCAGCAAGACCTGTGACAAACAAGACGACAGTCAGATGCTCAACATATATATCACTGCAGAGTTGCAAACTAAGTCTATATTGAGTTGTTAACATATACCCTGTTCCAAGGCTGAAGCCCAAGACACCCTGAACACTAATGGGGGCAAAGATGTGAAATACAGGAATGTGCAACCATAGCTGGTGGGACTAGAACACACTACAGACACTGTAAGACAGTTCAAGAGTGCACAGTCAAATACACTCTAAGCACACGATCCAGCAATGACGCCTTTTGGTATTTATTTGTGTTCCCTACAACTGTGTGTAGAACCCAGCAAGTGCTAAGATGTTAGATATAATTAACTGACCAAGAAAGTGCCAGGCTTTTCCTATGGTCTTTGATAACATGGGAACCTCTGCATGAACTGTTTATTAAGGAGTGTATAAGAAATTATGACATAAAATAGAGGTAAGAAACATGGGTATGGGAGGACACACTTAGGTTTTAAGACACCAAATATTAAAATAATAAAGGAAAAAAGGCAACAAAAGACACAAAAGCATAAATAGCTATGTCAGCATCAAATTGAATGCTCACAGCAGTCCTACTGCAGTATAGTCTAGCATCTCATCACAGAGAACAACCTTGTAGATTACATATAACTAGTTAACACACGTGGATTTTCTAGTTTCCAGATATGCAAACAAATCTGCCACACCCACCAGGAGGCACAGAATGATCTGTAAGCACAGTGGGGAGAATTTAACATTCACTTCTTACTAGCAGAGCATAAATAAAACCAATGATGGAAGTAAAACTGAAGAAAACACTACAACTATATGATCTTTTGGAGACGTACAAAAGATATGCCTGATGAAAAATGTCCATAAAACTAAGAGCAGTGTTCTTCAATTAATGCTAATAAAAACAACAGCAACAACATTTATCTTTTCCACATATCCTTTCCTTTTACCGTGACTTCTCTCATAGCCCAAGGCTGACCAGGTTTCTGAGATCAGAGTACACGTCTTTACTGTATCTTCTTTTCCACCTTTAAGCAGAACTTCCACACCTCTCATTTTCCTTTGCTTTCATTATTCCCACTCTTTGTATGCTCCCTTCCCTAAAACCCATTTAATAACTTTATATTAATCAATGACTCCATTGTAATTGCTCACTTCCTTTTACTTGCTTTTCCTTTCTACTCTTACCCACAACAATGAACATATCTAATATAAAAAATATTATTTGGGTCCCTTATTGCCCAAACAAAAATTGGTCCTTAATAAGTGTTTGTTTTGTAGTCAACTGCTACTCTGTTCAGAGTGAGTTAAACACTAGGTAGCAACTATTGCTGCAGGTAGTGTATCAGCTACCAGTCTAACACATCAACACAAGAGTACTAGACCCTATTGTCTCTAGACTGTCCCTCAACTGAAAAAGATATGTCATGAGTTAAAAGAGCAAAAGTAACAACACAAATCTTAACCAAAGATATAAATCCTGATGGGCAGATCCTACTTCAAAACACAAGTAACATAGAAAAACCAAGACAACATACTTCCTCCAGAATTATCAATCCTAATGCAATGGTCCCTGATGAAAATTACTTATATAACATCCCACATGAAAGGCTCAGAGAATGGTTAAACATATGTTTAAACAATCCAATGAGGACATGAATATTTTCTAAGAGAACACAAATAGCTGAATAAAATAATCAACTCATGACACAGAAATAAAATTCAATAAAGACAAATACTGAATAAACCCCAAACTAAAATGATACTGGAAATGAAAACATAGCAGAACAGATCATCTTTGGAAGACAAAATAGAGGAACTGGTCATTCAGTTAAGATAATAACATAAGTAGGAATGGACCACAGAAGAACTTTTGAACACCATGAAAAGGCAAAGTTGGTAATTATGCACAAAAAAGAGGTAAAATAATTCCATACAACAGACATACAAAATATTTTAATGAAGTCATGAAGAAAATCTAGGGAAAGAAAAGCCCTTCCACGCATACAATATAAGAGGCAGACAGTTCACCAAACAAGCAGGACCAATAAAGACATTTCTCATGTTATATACGAATATACAGAATAATTAAAGTATATTGAAATCTGAAAAAGTGAAGGGCAAAGTCATATACAAAGGGATACCTATCAGAATAACTAATGATCACATAAAAAGGGCCTGAAATGATGTATTTTAAATGTGGAAAGATTACAACTGACAACCTAGACTAATATATCCAGCAAAACTATCATAACTGAAGTAAAAGAAAAATTTCCACGATAAAAGCAGAATGTTACCATGAAGTCACCCTACAGAAGATACTGGATGGAATACATCAGATTGAAGACAAAGACAAGCACATCTAAGAGGCTATAGCAGGAAAATATAAGCAACACCAAGATACTCTTCAAGCAAAAAGGGACCAAGAAATCATTAAACACTAACAAAACCAACAAAATGTTAAGATTTTTTTGTTACTTCCAAGAAACATAGCTCACCACCAAAGATAAATATTATTCACTAATTTAGGGTGAAAGGATGGAAAAAAGGTGTTTCAAGCAAATTGAACCAGGAAACAATCAGGTGTTCTTATTTAGTATCTGACTTAGACTGGTTTCAAGCAAATTCAAGGCAGATGACACAAAAGGGTCACTTCTTAGGGATCAAGAGAACAATCCAGCAAAATGAAATTATAATCATATATATATATTAAATACAGGCTCATCAAAACTCTTGAAATAAACACTACTAGAATAAAAGTCACTGGCAAACCTCAATGTAGTAATAGTGGGTAACTGCTATATACCACACTCACCATTAGACCAAGTGAACAAAAAATAAAATGAACAAAGAAATTCTGGATGGAATTAAATGACATTATAGATCTGAAGGACCTAGTAGATGTCTACAAAACATTTCACTTGAACACAGTATGTTTTCTTCTTAACATTCCAAGGAACATCATCTAAACTAGGTCACATATTAGGACACAAAGCAAATCTAACCAATACAGGAAAACTGAAGCAATGTCCTGTATTCCACTATGGGAGCACAATGGGATAAAGCTAACAACCAATACCAAGAGAAAACTACAGAAACTAAACCAACTCATGGGAAGTAAATGACTGATGATTGAATGATGAATGAATCATTGAAGAAATCAAGAAGGGAATTTTTTTTCCTAAGTGGGATGAAAATGCAAATACAAAATAACAAAACACATGAGAAATAATGAGTACAGTCTTAAGAGGGAAGTTTATAGCTGTAAGTGTCTACATTAAAAATAATCAGGGGTGGTGGTGGAAAGACAGCTTAGGAGTGAAGAGCACTAGCTGCTAACAGAGGATCCAAGGTTGAGTTCTAGCACCCACAGAGTAGATCACAACCATCTGTAACTCCAGTTCCAAGGCCCTTTTCTGGCCTCCTCAGGTACTACATGAACATGGTGCACACACGATTATGCAGGCAAAATACCCAAACATATATACATTATTTTGTGTGGAAACTTTAGTCAACTTGGGGCTCAGCAGAGTTCAGGGCACAGAGAGCCTGGAGAAAAGAGAAAGAGACACAGGGGCTGTGAGGAGAACAGAACTGAAGCCAGGCAGAGCTATATCCTAACACCCGATTGGCTACAGCTGTCCCCAAGAGGGCAAGAGGATTAGAAGAGGTTCTTGACAAAGTTCATCCAGGGTCCTGAGGGGCTCATCTCTGTAGTCAAACTCTGCCATTCTAGGGCTCAGTTACAACAAGAGAAATACGGCTCCCATGACCAAACCTCACTGGACCCTCCCCCTCTTCCTTTAATCATTTCCATTCTGATCTTTTCAACCTTTCAGTTTTTAAATTGTATTTACTCAAATTTTGAATTGAACACTTTCACTTTTCTTTAAGTGATCTTGTGTGTGTGTATGTGTGATATGTGTGTGAGTGTGCACATATGTTTTCATGGTGGTTAGGGACCAGTCACAAGAGTCATTCCTCAGAAATCCACCTTGTTTTGAGACTGTCATGGTTTGACTAGACTGGCCAGTGAACCCAGGGTAGCAATCCCATCTTTATATTGACTCTCACCTCTAGGCAAATGTCCCCTAAATCTACATATCTCCCCTTCTGACTCTCTGGCTCTCCAAGTACATTTTGCCTATAGCCAAAACTGGACACCCTGAAACCTCAACAATACTCTTCCTCCTCCTAAACTTGCCCCTGCTTTCTTCCAGGTGTTGATGAGACTGTAGGGAAAAAGGAACAGCCAAAGAAACACACCCCAAGCAGAGTCAAAGAAACACACTTTGGCCCTGCAACCAGAACCAAAGAAATGCACCCTGACCCTGAAAACAGTGCCAAAGAAACACACTTTGTCCCTAAATCAGAGCCAGT